AGAGGCTCTAAGATGAGACTTTGTCGTCGTCGTCGCCGCCGCCGCCACCGCGACGTGGTCGTCATCGTCGCGCTGTCCTCGATCCCTCGATCGTGTAAGCGTGGGCTCTACAAACCGTCAAGAGACCCTCCAAGAGAACCCCAAGAGACCCCCCCACGCAAGGCTCTAAGATGAGACTTTGTCGTCGTCGTCGTCGCCGCCGCCGCCACCGCGACGTCGTCGTCGTCGTCGCGCTGTCCTCGATCCCTCGATCGTGTAAGCGTGGGCTCTACAGACCCTCCAGAGACCCTCCAAGAGAACCCCAAGAGACCCCCCCACGCAAGGCTCTAAGATGAGACTTTGTCGTCGTGGTGGACGCCGCCGCCACCGCGACGTCGTCGTCGTCGCGCTGTCCTCGACCCGTCGATCATGTAAGCGTGGACTCTACAAACCGTCCAAGAGAACCCCAAGAGACGTCGTCGTCGTCGTCGTCGTCGTCGTCGTCGTCGCCGCTCCCAGAGCCTTCGGGGCCTCTCCTTGGCCCTCCTACGGAAAATCCTGCAAAACCTAGCGAATTAGTCGAGACATCCTCGAAATTCCTGCGCGCTGGACGCGGCACGCGCGAGACATCCTCGGAATTCCTGCGCGCGAGTCTTCCTTTGCATCCAAGTCCTGACCGAACTGATCTGGATCTGAAGCTCGAGCTTCCTGAACACATAGTAGCTGCCCCAGAGCTAATTGACAGGGGGACATGCCAGGAGGACGCGCCGCGAAACGTCCCCAGGGACGCGCCAGGCGACGTGCCAAGGGACGTGCCATGGGGTCGCACCGTAGGCCGTGCCAAGGGGACGCGCTACGGGACATCCTCAAAATTCCTGCGCGCGGGACGTGGCACGCGCGAGACATCTTCCGAATTCCTGCGAGCGGGACGTGAAAACAAGCATTTCGCCTGAGACATCCTCTGAATTCTGGCCCCCCACGAGGCCCCCGCTCGAGACATCCCCAAGTTTGCAGAAACCAGCGTTTCGCTCGAGACATCCTCAACAAATTATGAAAAACAAGCGTTTCGCTCGAGACATCCGGTCAAAATTCTAAGAAATCCTGACAAAACAAACGAATTAGTCGAGACATCCTCGAAATTCCTGCGCGCGGGACGCGGCCCGCGCGAGACATCCTTGGAATTCCCGCGAGCGGGACACGAAAACAAGCATTTCGCCTGAGACATCCTCTGAATTCTGGCCCCCCGCTCGAGACATCTCCAAATTTTGCGAAAACCAGCGTTTCGCTCGAGACATCCTCCACAAACTATGTAAAATAAGCGTTTCGCTCGAGACATCCTGCCAAAGTTCTAAGAAATCCTGACAAAACAAGCGAATTAGTCGAGACATCCTCGAAATTCCTGCGCGCGGGACGCGGCACGCGCGAGACATCCTCGGAATTCCTGCGCGCGGGGCGCTTTTCCGAGTCGCGGTCGGGGCTCCAGACCCCGTTATTTTTCGAGGATTCTGCGAAAAACGCTCCGCACCCTCTTTTTTACGAGGGAAAGCGGGGGTCTGCGGACCCCGTTATTTATCGAGGATCCGAGATGGGGGGCGAACTTTCCTCGAGCGGGCACGCACAAAACGCACTTTTTCTAAAAAAATCAGCACTTTACCTCGTTATTTATCGCAAATAATTTCGCCGGCGCTTGACCCGTCAGATCCGGGGGTAAACGGCTAAAAGAGAACCCTGGGCCCGCGCCCTTTCCGGGAAAAATGGCCTTCGTCCTCACAATTTTAATTCGCCGGCCCCCTTCGACCTCGTAATTTATCGCACAAGAATTCCGCCAGCCCCCTTCAAGTCGAAACCGGGGGGTAAACCCACTAAAAGAGAACCCTGGGCCCACGCCCTTTCCGGGAAAAACACTAGGGATTTTTGCGATTTCCGAACTTATGCAACTTCAACTTGAATCGCCACCCCCCTTAGCAAGTGCTTTGAGCAGATATAAGTGGTTGCGCCACTTAGACCTGGTTAGCTAACCTACTTAGTAATCAGGCTAAGTAGGTTAGCTAACCAGGTTAGCAACCTGGTTAGGGGGGGGCGCTAACCTGGTTATAACCAGGTTAGCTAACTACGCTAACCTGATTAGCAAGGGTGCTTTTTGAATCGAAATCCTCCCTCCTCCTCCTCCTCCTCTGTCTCCCCTCCTCCCCCTTTCCTCCTACCTACCCTTCCTACTCCTCTTCCTCGTACTCCTCCACCTCCTCCTCATCCTCTTCCTTTTCTTCTTCCTCACTCTCTTGTTTTCCTCCTCCTCCCCCTCCTTCCCCTTCCTCCTTTCCCCTCACTCCTCCGCGCTCGCTGGGCGGGCGGCACGGGTCGCGCCTCGAACTTCTCGAAAGGCCGCGGGGGGCGGGCGGCGGCGGCGGCAGCGACGGCGGCAGCGACGACGACGACGACGACGACGACGACGACGACGGCGACGGCGACGGCGACGGCGACGGCGAAGACGACGACTGACGACTGACGACGGACGACGGACGACTGACGACTGACGACGACTGGTGGACCCCGAGGAGCTGCAGAAGGGAGGGAGGAGGAGGGTGGAGGAAGGGGCGGAGTGGGGCAGCGGCAGCAGCAAGAGCAGCTCTTTCTATCAGTGCCCACCCGATGCTCTAAGCTGCAGCTTCGGAGGAAAAAGGATTGCTGAGACATTGCCCGCGTCTGCGGGCCAAAAGATGCAAGGTTCCAGGATGCACGACGTTTGAAACACGCTAGGTGTATGGCACACCTGGCACTTGGCCGTGCTATCGCCAAATTCGGAAAGCTTCCACACGGCGATGCACGTCCAAAGCTCCCCACAGTGCTTAAAGTGGCAGCACACCTCACCGAATGAAATACGATTTCGGCCGCTGAAAAAAGCGACCACGTCGCCAACCTGGACCTCCCTACAATTTACCTGCACCGATTTTGCCGTCGTTGTCTCGCACCCGTCAGCAAAATTAAACACCTCTTCAAGGGTGTCCATCAGTTTCGGCGACGCTGTACGAGATCCTAAAAGGTCAGGCCGCTTAAAATGAACATGCTCAAAATTCCACAGGTGCAAGCAAGTGATCTCCTCAAGTACACCCTGCTCCCAACCTTTTGTGTTGCGCCTGCCGATGCAGATGCGTTTGATCATCCTATGCTTGCGTTCCATCAAGAACGTGCTCACTAAACAAAAGTCTCGCCTCAATTGAAATGGCATGTGGAATATGAAATGGTCTTTGGGTCGCCATAACTCGAAGGCGTATGCATTCTGATGCAATGACATGTGTGTTGCGATCGATATCCCCAGGTCGTCCGAGCTCACCAGCCCCGAGTTCACTATCTGCAGCATCCCTATGACTTTACAGAGGGCCCTCCCTGACGCAACCTCGTGGGGACAAGTCCCAGCGGGAACAACCTGAGCGAGGAAACTGTCCAGCACGGGGGCCATCGACACGAATTCAGAAGCAGTGCCAGAAGGCTCGTCGCCACTTTTGCAAATGTCCCTTGCGTGTCCATATGATTTGGGCCACTGCCAACTCTGGCAATACTCAAAGAACTGCTCTGGCCCGAAACCGTGTGGCTCCAGATTCTGCAACAGTGCCGTCGTCTCCCGAACGAATGTGCCATCGATCATGTAGCAGTGCATCCAGTCCCAGCAGAACGCATCAGCCAATGAGATCCCCAGCGAAAAATCCTGCAGCAGCCCTTCTGGCTCGTATACAAACCCCAAGTCGATTTGCAAGTTATCGAGCGCACCTGGCGTCTCATCCGCGCATTGCTTGAGCAGCTGCTGAACGCCTAAGAGAGAATCGTTGTCGTGAAAATCGAACTTCGCAACGTCGACGCACGTCCCTGGAACAAGGTAGTTGTTGGCTCGGTCTGGCAGCAACTTGGAATCTGGCTTGAGAACATTTTTGCACATAGCGCAAATCTTCACTCCTGTCGCGCCCTTCGCATGAAGGGAATGCTTGTGTGCCCTCTCGTCTTGGGTCAGCATTCCGATGGAGCCGTGCACCAAGACTGTTTCACCACCCAACTGGATTGTTATCCCGTGTCTGAGATCAGGCTTGCCCTCGCCAGCGCCATGAAACCACCGAGCACAGTATTTGAGCAGCTGGCTTAGGCCGCCTGGCAACTCTGAGACAACGGAAGACCGAGCCGCGCACATGCAAAACCATGCATTCTCATTGCCCAGAAGGGGCCAACCAAATTCTTTGAAGCTGTAGTATACGGCCTGGGTTTTACGATTCGTTTTCTCTTGAAACACTTGCCCTGGAACTATCTCATCTGTGTAGAGAATCACCGTGAGCTTGTTGCCACTATCAGCCAAGGCCCGACGCATCTCACCTAAGAACTCTGACGATATTTTGGCGGCCGTTTCGACGAACCCCCACGGGTGTTGAAACCACAGCTTGGCTTTGGAGCCATCCATCTTCTCTGCCTCCAGACTCTGCAGCAGCGGGCCGAAGGATGTGGGCTGCAGGGCTACCGACCGTCGCTCCCTCGCTTGCGTAGAGCAGGAGAAATGGTCTGGGAGCCCTTCGGCCTTGACCTGGGCAAGAATGTCTGCAAGCGCAGACGCTGAAACATGAGACTTCTTCCCGAACGACGAAACTTTCGGTTTCTTTGAAGGGTTCGACATGCGAGCTAGATGTCTTGAGCCAAAGCGTTTACGGACGTGTAACGGCGGTGGTGGTGGTGTGGTATGGCGGTCGCATCCCCCCCCGCTAAGTATCGGTCGCCCCGTGGGCCCCCCTCCTGGTCAAAAGTTGTGGCCCAAAAGGGGAGGGGTCTCTTCTGATCAATCTGGCATTTCACCAAAAAAACATACAAATTGTCTGGTGTACCGTGCAATTCGGGCCCCTCCTCAGGGGCCCCTCCTCAGCGTTCTTTCGGCGCGAGCCTAATTGGGGAACAACAGTCCAGCGCTCCAACGGGACCGACGGCACCCCAGGGGAGAAGGACAGGGAGGAAGAGGATCGGACGAGGAGGGCGCACTGGGTTTCACAGACGCCCGCGAAAGATGCGGCCCCGTCTCCGAACTGTCCCACTGCAGCTGGCCACGCCTATCGCACAGTGCAGCACACCCCAAGCTACGAAAGAAGAGAGGCATAGGCGCGGCACTAAATGGTGCAATCAACTCAGGACTCAAACGCTCACTGGAGCTCTCTCCAGTAAGCCGCGGCCATCTGGTACCCAGCCTTGGCCGCATCGGTAACAGCTGGCCCCTTAAGGCCTTGCTGCTTCGCAAGTGTTTTCGTGCTCCCGTAAACCTTGCTCGCAAAGTTGTTGCACGTCACATTGGCCACACGGTCGGGCACGAACAAGTGCGCAAGGTCGATGATGGTCTTGCCCTTCGTGATCGTGCGCTTCACTCCTAAAAAGGAAGGAGGAGGAGGAGGAGGAGGAGGAGGAGGAGGGGGAGGAGGAGGAGGAGCAGGAGGAGCAGGAAGATGAGGAGGAGGAGGAGGAGGAGGAGGAGGAGGAGGAGGAGGGAGGAGGAGGAGGAGGGAGGAGGAGGAGGAGGAGGAGGAGGAGCAAGAGCAGGAGCAGGAGCAGGACAAATAGGTAATGTCCTGGTACAGCACCAGCTGCGGGTGCGGCACCGCCACGGCCTCGGCCACGGCCGCGGCCTCTGCCACGGCCTGCGCCCACAGCCCGCTTGCCCTTGCCCGCGGCGCCCTTGGCTGCCTCGATCTTGGCGGCGCGGGTGGCCCTGGCTGCCTCGGCCTGCACGGCTTTGGCATCGCCCTTGGCCTTCTTGAGCGTCGCTGCCTTCTCGGCGGCCTTCTCCTTCTTGAGGCCGACCTTCGTCCTGGGGACGCCGCCCGTGCGCTCCACGTGCGATGCCTCAGCCGCCTGCCGCATCCTCGCGGCCAACTCCTTCGCTGCATCGATTGGCTTGCCTGGGACAACTGCGTCCACGACGCCAGGAGGCCCTGCAGGGCCACGAGGCTCTGCAGCGACAACTGCCGCTTCACCACCATCAGGCCCACTAGCTTCTGGACCTTCAAGAGGAACGCGATCGCCCTCGCGAGGGCTGCCACGCGGCGTGGCCACGTCAGTGACGCCGCCCTGGGAGTCCGCAGGGGAGCTCAAGGCCCCGCCTCCACCGCTGCCGCCGCCAGCCATGGGGAGGGTGGCAGCACTGAGCGTGCGGTGGCTGCGGCCACCATCACTGCGAGGACCTGGCTGCTGCTGCTGAAGCCCGCCCATCATGCCCGCCTGCGTGAAGAGACGCGCCGCGTCGGCAAGACATTGGAGGTGCCCGAGCGCCTGCGCGAGGGGGTTCGCAGCGTTGCCCTGCTGAAGGTTTGACAAGTTCCCCAGGTTGAGGCAGGGGGTGCGGGGCTGCTGAGGCGGCACTGGCACCACGGCCCTGCAGCTGGACAGGGTCCTGTGGGAGGTCCTGACGCCGAGGCGGCTGAACTCGAGGTCGACCTGGCTAGTGGCTAAGAGGTGGTGCGTGACTGGCGGGTCGTCGCGGTCGTAAGCGAACTCGTACATCGAGGGGTCCAAGTCGGTTGGGCTCGCGGGGTAGTGCTTCAGGTGTGCTCCAGGGTAGCGCCGTGCCTTGTCGTGCTCCTTGACGAAGTCCCTGAGCTTCTCCACCCAATGCTTCTTGGTGGCCGCCTCGACGTCCCCATGGTCCTCTGGCAGCCCGAACGCGAGGACCACCGACACGATGCGGCCTCTGAGCTTCTCGCTGCCACAGGTCATCCCGAGCTTGTACATGCGCTGCGACAAGTAGGATAACTTCGCCATCACCGCCATATCTGCGTTCAGGATGCACGAGTCCCAGTCCTTCTGCGTGAGGAAGAGTTCGGCCGTCTTGCAGTGCTGCTGGCACCTGGCATTCCCCGAGCCTGCGCTCGACATGGCGTCGCTCACTGCCGTGGCCAAGGTGATCTTCTGAGCCTCGCTCCATGGCCCACGGGTGACCGTGTCTGTGATCTGCGGCGCGTTATCGATGGTGATGCCCTGCGTGGACTTGATGGTGGCGACGAGCGACTGAGTCTGGCTCTCCAGGAGTGCCTCTCGTGAAATGCCCGCACCAGCCTGCGCCTCCACGAACATCGCCCGCTGGTTGAGGGCCGACACGATCTGGTCGACCACCGACTGCGCCATTGCGCTCTCGAGCAGAGCCAAGTAGCAGGGGCAGGTGCGTACACAACGCCGTGCGAATCAATTGAGCACAAATGGCTACGACGGCAAGGCGAGACGAATGAGACAAGGGTGCGAGGCCCACGGGCCACGGGCACAACCCATCGCATCGTGTATGGAGTGGCGCACAGAGGTCTCAGCCCCACTCGGACAGGTAGGAGTGCGAGGTGCAGCGGGAGGGTGGGAAGACGAGGTGGAGGGGGAGGTGGAGTGGCAAAGGCAGGAGGCACGGCAAGGGGTCGGGCAGGGCGAGAGGAAGCAGGGGGAATGAGATGAGAGGGCAGAGGGAGGCAGGGGACGGTGGGGGAGGAGGTTCGGCGCAGTCCAAATGCGAAACACCAGGCGGCCCGCAAGCCTCGAAATCACACCTCCCATCGTTAAAACAACATCAAAAAGGTCGGGGAAACCCAACTCCAGCATGCCTCCAGGCGGGCCCCAGAAGGCCTCACACGCGTCGTCGCACCAGCAGCGCCCCCAGAGGCCTCAGGGAAACGAGCTCCTGACACAGAGCTCGATTCTTTCTCCCACCTCTGTGTCAGGAGTTGGTTTCTCAGACAATACAAAAGTATAAAGGGGATGATACATCAGGGAAACCACCTCTGTGTCAGGAGCTGGTTTTTTACGCCCAACTCTGTGTCAGGAGCTGGTTTCCTGGGCCGCCCGCGGCCCGACTCCGGAGATGTTTGTGGTTTTCTGATCCCGAAACCATTTTCGGTGGCGATGCTACTAGCGTGAAGCGTCCAACTTAGTGCCCCAGGCGTCAAATATGTAGCTTACTTGTGGCGTGATCTCCCCCATCCCCCCTCCCCTTCTCACCTCAGCTCCTCCCCATCCCTTAGTATCCCTCCCCCCTCTTCTCATTCCCCCCCTACCTCCTCTCTCCTCGCCTCCCTCCCTCCCTACCTCCCCTCTCCTCGCCTCCTCCCTCCATCTGCTAAGCCCCCTCCCCCTCTCGCCCCTCCCTTTTGCCAGCGACAGCTGCATGTCTAGGTATGTGGTGCCCTGGCACGGCTTAGGCAAACTGCAATGCACAACGCCCCTATGCACCGCGAGCATCCCCAAGGCCATCTGGCCCTGCCACACGCACCACATATAGAATTCACACTCCAGCCTGCACTGAGCGTGGAAGCAGGCTCGAGTAGGACGCACTGCTGGTAATGACGTGCACTAGCCGCCGCGCGCGATCACTCATCCCGAGCTCTATGTCAGCCAAGGGCCTAGTCGAGGGCAGCCACGTTCCCGACGGCGTGGTGCTCTTCGTAGAACTTCTCGAGAGTGGCGGCCACCTTGTCCGTGTTGCTCTGGAACTCCTCGCGGTTCGAGGCGTACGCGACTTTCATGGTTTTGGTCCGCACTTGGTGCTTCGAGTCGTCGTAGTACTTCACCACGCAGCTGTTCGTGGAAACCTTGAAAGCCACATGGGGCTGATGCACCGTGGGAGTGAACGCTGCCGTGACGGAGGGCTCCATCGGGGTCCTGGTCAGCAACTCCATGTTCGCGTCGTTGAGTTCGATCTTGAGCGCCGCCCGACTGTGTGGAGCACTCTGTACCACCACCGTGTGCATGGTCTCGTCGACGTCGGCCACCTCCACCTCGATGACCTTGTCGATCTGGTCGTGCAAGGACTTGAGGGAGCCCTTTGGGAGCACCATGTCGTCCACAGGCGCCTCGTTGCCATCGCACAGCGGGTCGGCCGCCTTGATGGCTCTCTTCATCAGCGCCTGCGACTTGACCGCCCTGGCCTGCTGGATAGCCGCCGCCATTGAAAAATTGTTTTTCAAGAACTTGGCGCACCGAGTATCTTTGTGATCCACCGTCACGAACCTCTTGCCTCCGAGCTCCTCGGCCTGGGCCACCCAGGAGTTGTGCGGGGCAGGCTCATGGGCGTCACTGACCAGAGCGTATCCGAGAGTAACTGAAACAGGCATCCTTGCCAATTCGACAGGGTTGTCGGCAAGGTAGCAACCAAACCTACTTGAGCCAAAAACGTCTATGGGTGATGGGAGGATGGTGATGAGGAGGAGCAGCAGGACAATGACGACTATGATGAGGAGGAGCTGCCGTCTGGCAGAGTCGCTTCTGTCTGGCAGGGTTCGACTCGGTCGCTTCTGTCTGGCAGGGTCGCTCCTGTCTGGCAGAGTCGCTTTTGTCTGGCTGGGTTCGACTCGGTCGCTTCTGTCTGGCAGGGCCGCTCCTGTCTGGCAGGGTCGCGTCTGTCTGGCAGGGTCGCTCTTGGCACGGAGCTTGGTCGCTTCTGTCTGGCAGGGTCGCTTCTCAGGCCCTGGGACCGTCGGCTCGTCGGGCCTTGGGACCGTCGGCTTTGTTATTTTGTCTTGGTCGTCGTCGCCTTTCTCCTCGCGGTTGTGTTTCAACTCGGCTTGATCACAAACTCTGTCCTCCCCCTCACCCTACTCCTCCTTATCCTCATCCTCTTTCGCTTCCTCGCTTTGGTTTTCACCAGAAGCTGCGAAGCCAGGGACGCCCTGGCAGCAAGAGTCTCTGGTGCCATCCACCTGGCACCAGCTGTCAACAGCCTCCATGGCGAGCAAAAGACACAGAGGGGCGCTCCAGCCAAGCTTCGAATCTCGCGGTCGAGGCCTCGTTATGCTATGGGTGTTTCGCGTGAATCGTTCGGGCCCCTCAGGGCCCCTGAGGAGGGGCCCAAATTGTTTGATAAGCCAGCTTTTTTTGAGTTTTTTTTGAAATCCCAACCTGTTCAAAAGAGACCCCCCCCCCCCAGCGGTACCGCGATCCATTCGAAACATCGGCGTCGCATTGGTCGACGTGCCAGGTAGCGGAAGATCGCGGCGTGCAAACAAATGCAGCCGCGGACGGCACGACCAACCCCTCGGTCCAAAATTAAACTAGATGGCGGCTGACGGGAGGAGTCGGGATGAAAGTACTTAGGGGCAGGGGTAAAGAGGGGAGTCTGGATGTAGGGGTAGAGGTGAGGGCACGAATGGCTTAAGAGCCCTTCGCGGCCTTGGAAGGCCCCGAGCCCTGACCATGCAAGGCCCTCTTGATGGGCGCCTCGTCCGCCCCCGTGGCTGCACTAGGGATGGTCGGCCACTCGTCCTCCGCAGCGCGAAGGAGAGGGTCCCCCGACTTGAGGGCCTTGTGGTTCATGAGGCAAGGAAGGAGCAAAGACACCGACGAGCTCTTGCCCACCCTCTCCTGGCAGGAAGAGACCACGGTGCATTTCATATAAGTTACCTGCACGTTCGCTTTTGTCGGGTCTGGCGTGCGGGGCACCAGCCAAAAGGGCACAAGGAAAGGGCCCTTCGCTGCATCTGTGCCAGGCAAAACCACCTTAGGCGCAACATAAACCATCGAACCACTCGGGAGATCAGGAACAGCAGGGACCTCCACTGCCGATGGCGGTACCTTCGAACCCGCCGACACGATGGGCGAGAGGGCCACTAGGAAAAGAGAGCCACGGCTGTAGTCTTTACCAGCTAGCACCTCAGACACCGACGGCTTCGGCTTAGAGACGCCCTTAAAGGTCAGCGCGACGGTGGGGGCAAGGAGGGCATGCAGGTGCCTGAGCCCCGCCATGACGTTGGCGACGCACACGCGCTGCTTGAACTCCGTGTTGTCCTGTGGGGGGGCAGCGTGGGCGCAGTATCATTTTCGACTTACAGCTCCTCCCATCCTCCCCCATCCTCCCTCACCCCTCCTTTCCATCAGCCTCCTCCTCCTCCTCGTCCCCTTCCCCTCTATCACCTTTTCCCCATCCCCTTCCCTCTCCTTCCCTTGACCCTCCTCCCACTTCTCACCTGTTGTTTTTTTACCCGCCCGCCCTCCCTTCGAGAGGGCTGGAGGGGGAGCGGCCAAGCCGGTAAAAATCAACAAAAAACACACGAAAATCGCAAAATCAGGAAACCGAAAACGATGGGGGTCCGTGGCCACGTGGTCGGAGGACGCGAGCGTGAAGCTGAAGTCCTGGGGCGCAACCTGTGGAGGGAGAGGGACACCCTGCTGCTGCCTCTGCTCCCCATCCTTCTCCTCCTCCTCCTCCTCCTCCTCCTCCTCCTTCTCATCCTCATCATCCTCATCACCCTTCCCCAGCCTCCCCCTTAGCTTGCATGCGTGTGTATACATACGCTATATATACATATGCTCATATATGTACATATCAATATCTATATCTATACATACGTGTTTGCATCATGACTACATATACCTATATGTATATCCATATAGCTAGATATACACATATATCTATATATATCTATATATATATATGTACATAAGTGCATAATACTTACGTCAGTATGCAGGCTACCCCCGCCTCGTAGTCGTCCATCAGCTTGGCTGGCTCGAGCTTCACGGTCTCCGTCGTCTGCTTGCCCTTGCCCCTGCCCTTGCCCCTGCCCTTGCCCTTGGGCGCGTCCACCTCGCCGTGCAGCTCGAGCTCGATCTTGCCGTCAGCGATCCCCGTGATCTTCCAGTGCTGCTTGTTGTTGGGGTCGTCTGGCACCTTGAGCCTGATCAGGGTGCCGACCACCATGCCAGCGTCCTTCAGAGCGCCAATGGTGAGACCACCGATGCCGAACTCCCTCATCACGCCGCTGGGCGGCCCGTCAGACCCGCCAGACTCCAGGTCCCACGGCAACTGCGACTCGCGAGCCTGAGGGAACTTCGCGAAGGTCTCCTGCAGAAGCTTCTGGCACACCGCCTTGGTGTCGTCGAAGCGCTCGCGGTGCGGCGCCCTCTTGGAATGCAGGCACATCACCAGCCGCACCTGGAAGTTGCCATAAAGCCTGGCCGCGTCGCCAGCACTCGTGCCATCACCGCGGAACTGCCTGAGCCACTGCTTTGCTGCGACCATCTTCTCTTGGGCAGCCAGCGTCTCCGCCCTCTTCCTGCTGATGTTGCTGATGTCGGACGTGTTGAACAGCTTGGCCACGGACCCCTTGCAGAAGTTGTCAGGGGCGCTCAGGGACGCCTTGACGACGGCTACGACGTAGTCAGGGCATTGAGTGAACTGCAGCGTAGCGAGCCCACGAATCAGCGCGTTGGGCAGCTCGCGCCTGAAGGAGAGCACCTTCGAATACTCCTCGATGCACTCGAGGTTGATGGGCGTGGAGCCGCCCCCCCACTGGATCACGAACTCGCCAATGTCGCGGATCTGCCCCTCCATGTGCGTCATCTGGGCCTCCACGGATCGCGCAATCGCGTCGAGCTTGTAGTCGCCATGCACTGCCATGTTCTTCATTGCCTTTGAGTGCACGGCGAGCATCGCCTGCACGTGTGTCTGCTTCCTATGATTGCCATGGCCGATGTTACCAGCCTCGCTCAAGAAGTCGGGCAGCTCGGGGATGGCAGATGCGACCTGGTGTCGGATCACGAACCAAGGGATCCCAGTGGACAACGACTTGTCGTACGAGGGGCTCAACGCGGCAACCTTTCCAGCCAGAACCCCACCAGCAACCCTCCATACCCCCAACCCCTGGACGTTTTTAAGTTGATGCATGTCTAAAGGTTGGGTCAGGGAGGGGATGGAATGGGGTTCTGGCCAGGCCGCCTTCGCCCTGCACAGTGCGCCATCGGTGCTCAGGGCGGAGTCGTTCGACGCGCAGCCCGCCAGCACCGCCTTCTGGCCAGCGGCGGTGTGCGAGCACGTCACCGTAGAAATCCTCATGTCGTGCTTGACCACGGGCGCGAGCTGGCCAGCGGAGGCGCTCCACAACTTCTGGTTGAAGGTGAACACCTCGTCGGCCTTGCTCGGGATGATCTCGAAGCACCTGGGAGTCTCGAGCTCATTGTCGCTCCAGCCCTGGTGGATGATCCTGGACAGGAGAGAATGGACGTCAACTGGGTCCACGCCCATGCCCCACCGATTGCAACAGTCCACGACGGAATGCTGAGACTTGATGCGCTCAAAATATCCAAGCTCGGCGTGGTACAGCATCTCGCATATCTGATCAGCTTTGGCCTTCATCTGCCCTTTCGAAGGGTCGTCAGCCGAAGGGTCGTAGTCAGCGATCATCTTCTTGATCGGGCCCGTGACCTGCACCACGGCAAAATCCATGGTTGACAGCTGGGGATTCCGACGTTGAGAGTCTGAGGGGCCAATCTTGAAGATCGGGCTGGCGAGCTTGAGCCGAGGCAGCTGCGATCCGAAACGACGTTCGAAACAAATAAAATGGCCCCGTCATTTTCAGAAACGCCGCCAAGTCGGAACGGATATCTTCGCACTAACGCAAAATATACCATCCGCGCCCCCAAAAATCGCTTATCTTGGCTCGGCGTAACCTGGTTAGTAACCTGGTTACGGGGTACTTGCGTAAGTGGGCCAACCTGGTTGCGAAGGATCCCGCTAACCTGACCTAACCTGGTTAGGTGGTTACGCGTAAGTGGACTACAAGTGCGGTAACGAGGTTACTTGACTTAGATAAGTGAGCTATCTTGAAAAAGCGTTTGCTCCATGGATACCAAATGGATAGCCATCTTACTACAACATACGACAATTTACTCCAGGTTATAACTCATGTTGAGACCAACTTACAAGTAGGTTGAGCCGCACGAACCACTTCGCAAAGCGAGTGGTGATTCAAGAAGAATCCAAAACTCCGTTCCCAGCGCCGTTCCGGAGGCCGCGGCACCTCGTTATTTATCGAGCGAACGCGTTTACCTAGTTGTTTTATCGTTTAAAATCGATGTCGGAAAACATGATCGACCCACGAACCCGGAAAGGAATGTAGAACTGTAACACATGGCAGCGTTTTCAAAGACACCTGATTGGGTGACGGGCAAATGCAATACTGAAGGTATCGATCTTGATGTACCCTGCCGAGGGCTGTGCTGTGCTGCGCCGTGCTGAATTGCGATGTGCCATGGCGCGACTGTGCTCTATAGCCTCGTGGATCGAGTCCTCCTTTGCATCCGAGTCCTGACCGAACTGATCTGGATCTTAAGCTCGAGCTGCCTGAACACATAGTAGCTGCCCCAGAGCTAATGGACAGGGGAACATGCCAGGAGGACGCGCCGCGAAACGTCCCAAGGGATGCGCCAGGCGACGTGCCAGGGGACGTGCCATGGGGTCGCACCGCGGGACGTGCCAAGGGGACGCGCTACGGAACGTGCCAATGGATGTGCCACGGGATGTGCCAGGGGACGCGCGACGCGACGTGCCAGGGGGACTCGCCAAAGGACGCCCCACGGAACGTGCCAAGGAACGTGCCAAGTTGCAATGCTGAGTGCATCGACCTTGATGTACCGTGCCGAAATCAGTGCTGTGCTGCGCCGTGCTGAATTGCGATGTGCCATGGCGCGATTGTGCTCTATAGCCTCGTGGATCGAGTCCTCCTTTGCATCCGAGTCCTGACCGAACTGATCTGGATCTTAAGCTCGAGCTGCCTGAACACATAGTAGCTGCCCCAGAGCTAATGGACGTCGTCGGATCGTGAAAGCGTGGGCTCTACAGACCCCCAAGAGACCCTCCAAGAGAACCCCAAGACACCGCTCCACGCAAGGCTCTAAGATGAGACTTTGTCGTCGTCGTCGCCGCCGCCGCCACCGCGACGTCGTCGTCGTGGGCTCTACAGACCCCCAAGAGACCCTCCAAGAGACCCCCCACGCAAGGCTCTAAGATGAGACTTTGTCGTCGTCGTCGCCGCCGCCGCCCTGTCCTCGATCCCTCGATCGTGTAAGCGTGGGCTCTACAGACCCTCAAGAGACCCTCCAAGAGAACCCCAAGAGACCCCCCCACGCAAGGCTCTAAGATGAGACTTTGTCGTCGTCGTCGCCGCCGCCGCCGCCACCGCGACGTCGTCGTCGTCGTCGCGCTGTCCACGAGCCCTCGATCGTGTAAGCGTGGGTCGTCGTCGCGACCGTCGATCGCGCTGTCCTCGATCGATCGTGAAAGCGTGGGCTCTACAGACCCCCAAGAGACCCTCCAGAGACCCCCCACGCAAGGCTCTAAGATGAGAGACCCCCACGCAAGGCTCTAAGATGAGACTTTGTCGTCGTCGTCGCCGCCGCCGCCACCGCGACGTCGTCGTCGTCGTCGCGCTGTCCTCGATCCCTCGATCGTGTAAGCGTGGGCTCTCAGACCCCCCAGGAGACCCTCCCAGAGAACCCCAAGACACCGCTCCACGCAAGGCTCTAAGATGAGACTTTGTCGTCGTCGACGCCGCCGCCACCGCTGCGTGGCCCTACAGACCCCCAAGAGAACTCCAAGATACCCCCCACGCAAGGCCTAGATGAGACTTTGTCGTCGTCGTCTCCGCCGCCGCCCTGTCCCTCGACCCCATCGTGTGCGTGGGTCTTACGCAAGAGACCCTCCAAATGAACCCAGAGAGACCACCGGCAGGCCTCTAGATGAGACTTTGTCGTCGTCATCGCCGCCGCCGCCGCCACCGCGACGTCGTCGTCGTCGTCGCGCTGTCCTCGAGCCCTCGATCGTGTAAGCGTGGGCTCTGCAGACCCCCAAGAGACCCTCCCAGAGAACCCCCGGAGACCCCCCCACGAGAGGCTCTAAGATGAGACTTTGTCGTCGTCGTCGCCGCCGCCGCCACCGCGACGTGGTCGTCATCGTCGCGCTGTCCTCGATCCCTCGATCGTGTAAGCGTGGGCTCTACAAACCGTCAAGAGACCCTCCAAGAGAACCCCAAGAGACCCCCCCACGCAAGGCTCTAAGATGAGACTTTGTCGTCGTCGTCGTCGCCGCCGCCGCCACCGCGACGTCGTCGTCGTCGTCGCGCTGTCCTCGATCCCTCGATCGTGTAAGCGTGGGCTCTACAGACCCTCCAGAGACCCTCCAAGAGAACCCCAAGAGACCCCCCCACGCAAGGCTCTAAGATGAGACTTTGTCGTCGTGGTGGACGCCGCCGCCACCGCGACGTCGTCGTCGTCGCGCTGTCCTCGACCCGTCGATCAGTAAGCGTGGACTCTACAAACCGTCCAAGAGAACCCCAAGAGACGTCGTCGTCGTCGTCGTCGTCGTCGTCGTCGTCGCCGCTCCCAGAGCCTTCGGGGCCTCTCCTTCCTCCTACGGAAAATCTGCAAAACCTAGCGAATTAGTCGAGACATCCTCGAAATTCCTGCGCGTTGGACGCGGCACGCTCGAGACATCTCGGAATCCTGCGCGCGAGTCTTCCTTTGCATCCAAGTCCTGACCGAACTGATCTGGATCTGAAGCTCGAGCTTCCTGAACACATAGTAGCTGCCCCAGAGCTAATTGACAGGGGGACATGCCAGGAGGACGCGCCGCGAAACGTCCCCAGGGACGCGCCAGGCGACGTGCCAAGGGACGTGCCATGGGGTCGCACCGTAGGCCGTGCCAAGGGGACGCGCTACGGGACATCCTCAAAATTCCTGCGCGCGGGACGTGGCACGCGCGAGACATCTTCCGAATTCCTGCGAGCGGGACGTGAAAACAAGCATTTCGCCTGAGACATCCTCTGAATTCTGGCCCCCCACGAGGCCCCCGCTCGAGACATCCCCAAGTTTGCAGAAACCAGCGTTTCGCTCGAGACATCCTCAACAAATTATGAAAAACAAGCGTTTCGCTCGAGACATCCGGTCAAAATTCTAAGAAATCCTGACAAAACAAACGAATTAGTCGAGACATCCTCGAAATTCCTGCGCGCGGGACGCGGCCCGCGCGAGACATCCTTGGAATTCCCGCGAGCGGGACACGAAAACAAGCATTTCGCCTGAGACATCCTCTGAATTCTGGCCCCCCGCTCGAGACATCTCCAAATTTTGCGAAAACCAGCGTTTCGCTCGAGACATCCTCCACAAACTATGTAAAATAAGCGTTTCGCTCGAGACATCCTGCCAAAGTTCTAAGAAATCCTGACAAAACAAGCGAATTAGTCGAGACATCCTCGAAATTCCTGCGCGCGGGACGCGGCACGCGCGAGACATCCTCGGAATTCCTGCGCGCGGGGCGCTTTTCCGAGTCGCGGTCGGGGCTCCAGACCCCGTTATTTTTCGAGGATTCTGCGAAAAACGCTCCGCACCCTTTTTTTTACGAGGGAAAGCGGGGGTCTGCGGACCCCGTTATTTATCGAGGATCCGAGATGGGGGGCGAACTTTCCTCGAGCGGGCACGCACAAAACGCACTTTTTCTAAAAAAATCAGCACTTTACCTCGTTATTTATCGCAAATAATTTCGCCGGCGCTTGACCCGTCAGATCCGGGGGTAAACGGCTAAAAGAGAACCCTGGGCCCACGCCCTTTCCGGGAAAAAATGGACTTCACCTGTGAAATATTGAGGTTTCCTTAAAGGCAGTAAAATTCCAAGAGCACGATCTGCGTGAGGGGTAGCGAAAAATGTCCTTCGTCCTCACAATTTTAATTCGCCGGCCCCCTTCGACCTCGTAATTTATCGCACAAGAATTCCGCCGGCCCCCTTCAAGTCGAAACCGGGGGGTAAACCAACTAAAAGAGAACCCTGGGCCCACGCCCTTTCCGGGAACCACACCTCACGCAGATCGGCGGGGTCAGGGTCAAAAAACACATGATCGACCCACGAACCCGGAAAGGAATGTAGAACTGTAACACATGGCAGCGTTTTCAAAGACACCTGATTGGGTGACGGGCAAATGCAATACTGAAGGTATCGATCTTGATGTACCCTGCCGAGGGCTGTGCTGTGCTGCGCCGTGCTGAATTGCGATGTGCCATGGCGCGACTGTGCTCTATAGCCTCGTGGATCGAGTCCTCCTTTGCATCCGAGTCCTGACCGAACTGATCTGGATCTTAAGCTCGAGCTGCCTGAACACATAGTAGCTGCCCCAGAGCTAATGGACAGGGGAACATGCCAGGAGGACGCGCCGCGGAACGTCCCAAGGGACGCGCCAGGCGACGTGCCAAGGGACGTGCCACGAAGACGCACCGCGGGACGTGCCGAGGGGACGCGCTACGGAACGTGCCAATGGACGTGCCACAGGACGTGCCAGGGGACGCGCCGCGCGACGTGCAGGGGGACTCGTGCCAAGGGGACGCGCTACGGAACGTGCCAATGGATGTGCCACGGGATGTGCCAGGGGACGCGCGACGCGACGTGCCAGGGGGACTCGCCAAAGGACGCCCCACGGAACGTGCCAAGGAACGTGCCAAGTTGCAATGCTGAGTGCATCG